ATATGAGGTGCAAAATCAGCCTTAACCCATAAAGGGATTAATTCTTACTTACTTGCATCAGCATACTTTAATATCCATTTGGTTCTTTAAATATATAAACTTTTAAAGTATATTATGTGGCTGAATTCATTATTGTTTGTTAAATGCTTCCAGTTTCTTATATAAAATACGTTAAAGTGCAAATAGGTGTTTAATATATCCTTAAAATTAAAATTTGGCTATTAAATAGCACATTAACCAATTAATTGCATTCAGATTTTGCTAAATTGCATTTTCTATCCATCATAATAAAATAAAGCATGCTTCAAGGACATACTAATCCTGTTTTGGCCATTTCAGTTGGTAAGTTTGCCAGTTTATTATTAGCTTTCATCATTGTCCTTACATATTCATTTAAGTCTGTTTAAATTAATGGATATATGAATTTTTAGCTTTGATTTTACACTGGTGAAATGGCAATATGCTTTGGCACATGATGTTTATCCTTTTTGGTTTGGGTTTTTTAAAAATATTATTTTAGGCTATATATGAATGCAATTTCTAATTTTTATTAGAACTGAGCAAATGCTGCACACCTTCAGGGCTTTTCCTGAGTATCGCCACTTTCCTCAAATGTTTTTCTTTCCCTTTAATTTCCTGAACTGACTATAGTTTCTCTTTACTTGTTTTTTGTTGTTGTTTTTTTGTTCTGTCCAGAGGGAAAATATGGGGGGGGGATCTAATTGTATTTGGGGGTTTTTAAAACCTGTTTAATGAGCAGAACACCTTGACTTCTTTACATTCCTCCTGACCTATGCCCTGCAGTGATCATTGACCACCAGTCCACGGGGCATACGCACATAGTCTCTGCGTACTTCTAAGAGAGTCAGATTTTTAAACTCACATTCTTGTACAAATCAGTAACAAGAGTCTCAGGAGCGGGGAATTTTAAGCTTTTCATATTTTTCTTACTGGCTCTTTGCCATTCCTGGAATGGCCCCGTCTTCACCTCTGGATGCCATGCAATTGTTCAGAAAGCCACTAATAATTGACAAGGAAAAGACTAGGAAATTGCCTTCTAATGTTGAAATCATGCAAAGTGCTAGACAGCCATAGGCTTCTTCTCCACTATGAAATACCTTTCCCCTAGCGTCTGGGGATGGTTTTCAGATTCCTATTTGGATTAGCCAAAGAAGCTGCGGTAATTCTGTGGTAATGCCCAGTGAGGCATCCACCAAATAAATTTCCTCATGGTCACAGCAGGGGAGCAAAGGGTTAAATCCTCCTCTGTGTCTGCCATAATGCAGTGATACCTCAGGTTAAGAACTTAATTTGTTCCGGAGGTCTGTTCTTAACCTGAAACTGTTCTTAACCTGAGGTACCATTTTAGCTAATGGGGCCTCCTGCTGCCACCACGTGATTTGTGTTCTCATCTTGAAGCAAAGTTCTTAACCCGAGGTACTATTTCTGGGTTAGCGGAGTCTGTAACCTGAAGCGTCTGTAACCCGAGGTACCACTGTACCAACAAATTATCAGCACACACCCACACCCACACACCCACCCACACCCGCTGATGCCATTTGCATTTTTAAAAAACCTGCATGTTAAATGCAAAAATACATCTAAACTCAAGTTTATTTTGGCCCTTATCAGGAATAAAAGTTCAGATTGCAGCTTCCAGATGGTTTACTCATCTTTGTTCACATACAAACTAGTTTGTTTGAAACCAGAAGCAATGAAGTGATGGAAGCGGCGGGGGGGGGGGGGGGGCAAGAGAAATCAATTTCCTCCTTCCCCTTCCTTGAACTGATTTTGCCTAGGAAGCTGGAAATATTTCAGTTCCTTTAAAAAGTATCATGTTATAGACAGGAATCTTTAAAAAAAAAGATACCTTTTTAAGCTGGCAAAATAATTTTGTTTTTTAAGAAAGGGCTTACTGGAACTCCACCCTGTCGCGCCAGCTTTTTAACGGTACTGGCAGAGCCCATAAGCAGGTTTCCTGTACTGAGTGAGGTAGAATAAACATACCTTATTCCCAACTGCTATTTCAAAGACTTTGACAAATGCCAGAAACTAATTATTTTTGCTCAGTTCAGTCTTGATCACCACATTGCAGAGATGCTATGAGTACAGTCTCACTACAGATTCTCGTATATATGAATTGGCAACTTAAAGGGCCACCATTTATGGCCAGAATTTTCAAAACCTCAGGAGATGCGAGAGAACCAGAACATCACTTATCTGAGAGATAACAACCACAATCCAACAACATTTAAAGCTTTAAGTGCATTTAATTCTGTGCTGGAGTTTGGCCAGCAAAATCCTCTCTGCAGCATGGATTTGGTACAGCTTCTGAATCAGTTTCTGGTTGGCAATAATTTTCTTCTGGTAATGTGTTAAGACTAGAATTTCTAACTGGTTTCTTTTGAAAAGAAGCCATAAACCACAAGCCCCCATTTATCCAAACAAATGAAAGTGGTACACTTAAACAGCATTGGCATATCAGAGGATCATGTAAACACATTGATTGGCATTAGTCTTTTTGCTGTTTCTTAGATCCTGGGAGCTTCAACAGTAGAATATTTCTGTTCTCTCATAGTAGCAGCCACAGAAGAAGTGTCTATCTGCTAGCCTTTCCCCAATCCAAGAAAAGACGTATCTGAAATCTCTCTTTCAAGCTGATACTATGTTGATGATATGAATGACAGACCCCGTTACTAAGCCATTAAGTTCACCACATCATTCATCAAACCCTTCACTTTGAAAAACAAGGACTGTGTGGTTTGACTTGATAATGCTAGTTTAAATCATTATAAAAATATTTATTTCCTATAGTTGTTTTTTTAAAAAAGACATCAAAATTTCCTGGGACAAAGAAGTAAGTGTAGCTTTGTTTGTTTATTTCTAAGTGATCATTTTGTTTTATGAGCACATTCCTTAGTTTCTCCTTCCACCTTCTTTGGCATTGTGTGCTTCTGAATTAATCATCTGGAAATCAGCCCATTTTCACCTTGCCACAGTTGTGAGATCCGTATGTGCACTAGGGGGGAAACATTGGGGTATTAATATAGGGAAAGGGAAATCAGTTTGATTTCTTCTTGTGGTGGGGGAGAAGATGGGTAGTTTCCCCTGTGTTTTCCAACAAAATATATATTGTTGGCATGTGCTGCTGCTGTTTATTCTCTGCTTTCCAAATATGCTAATGACTTCGTCCGCTGGCTGGGCTTTCCCATTAGCTCACAATGATGTACAGTGCAGAGACACAGCAGATTGCATTATTTCCTTCTCCTCAGAATACCCAGGAAGTCCTTGCTGATGTCATTGTTGGCTTTCCTACTCACCAGCATGTGAAAAGAAGGCATGTGAGATCAGCGAGGGAAATAAATGCTACAGCCAAAAGTCGAAGGGCAGGAACATCATGATGAATACCCAAGTATCCTAATATGTCTTTCTTTTGACAATTGTGTTGCTTCAAATTAGCACAACACTCATTTGGCCAGATGCGATTGCAGTTGTAGAATGATCTCATCAGCACAAACAAGATTTGCTGATAGCAAATGTTATCAGTGCCTACCAGATAACATGCCGAAAGGACACCTGAATTGCCATCTCTAGAAGATATAGCAGCATAGCTTTGTATGTCATGACTGGAGTATGTTTCCAGAGAGTGTGCGTAGAAACACTATCCAACCTTCTCTCAAACACATCTTTTCTCTATCCATTGTGGATGGAGGTCCACAAAGTCCATAATCAGACAATATGGAACCAATGGCTCTCCTGCACATGAGGTGAGAAAAATAGAGAGTACACACACAACCCTGATGTTACCATCCTTCCATGTGAGGGCAACCTATCTAATCCACCATCCTTTTCCCAACTAGAGATGAGCCAGAGACCTTTGAAAAGCACACAAAGGGATGAGGGCAGCAACATTGCCTGTTTGTGCCTAGCATCTGGTATTCAGAAGTCCACTGAACTCACTTTGTAGCCTGCACTCAGTTCCTATTATCTTGACCAAAGCTGGAAGTGCTTAAAACAATCTGCCCTGCTACAATTGTGCAATAGCAGTTTATGTACAGATCACTTGTTTTGCCCAATGCAGCATTACAGTCTTTTGAAAACTGAATGAAGGGGCTTTTATTTCTCATTGATCCTGACCATTGTTTCTTTCTGGCACATACAGGCAGCAGCCCGAGCGATAGTTTCTTAGAGCCCTTTTATTCTGCCTTTACCATTCTAGTGCTAACCTAACAGAACTAATTGGCTCAACCTTCACTGATAATGACCTCATTTTCATTGCATTGTCTAATGCTAGAACTCATTTTGTCCAGTGTAGTGGTGTAAGTGTTAATGCTAAGTTGACATATGGTCTCATCCGCCGCCAGAATCATTGGGATAGAAGTGACCAGACAGTCTTCTATTTCAGCCTTTGTCTTGTGGAAAGATTCTGCAAACATCCTTGTACAAAGCAGCTTATATATGTCATACCACATTTTGACACAAATCATATGGAGCAAATTGTAGTCCAGATGTTCAGGCAAATGCTGAGCATGAAACCAAACCCAGGGTTGGATCCTACTAAGCTCTGCAAGGGATGTTTGTGGGCACAAGTCTACTTTGCACAACATGCTTATCTCTACTTGTAACAGCCCGACTGCTAAACAAGTGATTTAGATAGGTGGGAACCCATTCTTTGTTATTTAAGAGACTTCAGAGGTCTCCACTCCAGGTACAGTTGCTAATTCTACCACTCTTAGGCATGTTGAGAGGCCCTACAAGATAGCAGAAGATGTGACTGACCACTTTGATTGGGTCGTGCTCTGGAAGTTCACCGGGAATGAGGATGGGTTGGATCAATCTTATTTACTTCTCATAAGTCAGCACTGTGGCTTGCCGCAGAGGAAGCGGTACAAAGATGGAGCAGCACACACTTTTGACCATTCTTCCTCTTTCTTCTGTGTTGTTTTATTTATCCTGGTGCTTTCTAACAGGCATGTTTTCTCTTCTCTGTCTCTTTCTAGGTGTACTTTCTCTGCCTGCGTACTTCAGTCCTTACAACGATGGATCCATGTGCAGCAATGGAAGAGCTGATGCTTACGCCCAACTAGAACTTAGAACTTTAGAACAGTCTCTCCTGGCAACTTGTGTTGGAAGCATCTCCGAACTGAGTGAGTTCCACCCGCATATGATCGCTTGTTTTCAAAAAATATGGGACCCTTCCATATTGAACTCAGAGGAAATCTTGGTGTTGGCTTTGCTATTCTTTTGCTTGGGCCCATGTTGTTCAAGGTATTAGCGTTTTGGGATATTACTCAGGAAAATTCAGATTCCCTCACTTGGTATTTTAAATATAATTTCCTACAGTGCTCAATCTTTATTTGTTTAATTGTTGTCAGTGTACATTATGCTTTACAAATAAAAGCCTGAGAGTCCCCTTTCTCAGCAGGTTTGCAATCTTAGACACAGGAAGGAAACAGAGGAAGAAGAGGAAAGCGATGGAGGCAGAGATTATTGCAGTTACACATACCCTCAGAATCCCTTCCAACTCTATGATTCTATGAATGTAGATAACCTATTCACTGCAAGTCTATAACATCATCATCATTAATTTGCATGCCACATTTCCATAATCAAAAAGTTAAATTTAAGTAACCGTGAACAAGCTACATCACGTTACTGTAATGAAATTCAGCAATCCCCTGATCTAACAATAAAAATGCAATCTCCACAACTAAAATTTGACTCCGCTAAAACACCTAGATAACCCTTCACCTTGGTGGTCTCGAGTCTAGGCATCATGAAAGTCTTGAAAGACTTTCAACAGAAAATTTGTCTCTGGCACCTACAACTGTAACAGCTTTGGCTAGCTTTAGGTGGTGCATGATGGGCACAGCTCTGATCTCACAAAGAAGGGAATGGCTAAGGGTCCCGGGAGAAATGAAGAGCAGGCTGCCTGCCCACCCTGCATCTTCCACCTGAGGCAACTACCTCACTCTGTCTAATGGTGGGGCGAGGTCTGCAGGAAACTTTCAGATGGTGGAAGGTGTGGAAATGGAGGAGCAAGGATGACGACTAGAAATGTGTCAGTATATAAGAGCAGAAATATAAAGGAGGCATGGCTGTGGAGGGTTTTGAAGGCAAAGAGGAGAAACTTTGAGGTGAGAAAGGTGACAGTGTGGTCAGGAAGCCATTTCCTTGCCTAGAAGAAGAAGAAGCAGCGTTTGGATTTGGTATCCCGCTTTATCACTACCCAAAAGAGTCTCAAAGCAGCTAACATTCTCCTTTCCCTTCCTCCCGCACAGCAAACACTCTGTGAGGTGAGTGAGGCTGAGAGACTTCAAAGAAGTATGACTAGCCCAAGGTCACCCAGCAGCTGCATGTGGAGGAGCGGAGGCTCGAACTCGGTTCACCAGATTATTAGTCCACCACTCCTAACCATTACACCACACTGGCTCTCTCTCCAGCCTAGAGCTGGAAGCATTAAAAACTTTTCACCTCCAACCATTTCCCCCCCCCCAACTGTGCAATAGTAGTTTATGTCTGAACCACTTGCTTTGGCTTTTGCATCATTGCCCCTGTTGTAGTAAACATGGGGCTGTATACCTCTTGCAGAATTGGGCATCTCAAATTATCTATCTCTGAGCTACATACACTATGTGAGTTATAGATTGCACACCCTGAATGCCTGATAAAACCCACTTTATTATTATTTTTTACTACATTTATACCCTGCCTTTCCTCCATGGCATATGTGGTTCTCCCTCTCTTCATTTCCTCTTCACAACTCTACAGCTAGGCCTGAGGGGTTGTGACCGGAACAAGGCCACTCAGTGAGATTCATGGCTGCATGGGCATTTGAACCCTGGCCTCCCAAGTCCTAGTCCAACACTCTAACCACTGCATCATACTGCCTTCTTTTCTGAAGCTACCTGGAATTGCACAAAGAGGAGAGCTGTTAAGCACCTGGTGGACTGTAGCATTTGGCTGGCATGTGACAACCAGCCTAAAAGCTGTGAGTTTGATAATGCTGTGAGTCAGGCGATTATTTGACCTTTGGCTTGGGAATGCACAAATGCCAAAGGGCCAGTTCTCCAGTTGAGCAGCCAATTTCGCCTTCTAGTTTTTGGTTTTTGGTTTTTTTTAAAAAAAATGCTTCCTCTAACGTCAATGTTTTCTATTCTTTTTTTAAGCAGAGGAAAATCATGAAAACCTTTTTTCATGCTAGGTTTGGAAAGTCTGTTTATATTTTGATTAATGCAAACTAGGTTTTGGAGCCTGTGCTGCTGAACAATGACCCTTTAAGTTGTGCTTTGCTGGCTTATTTCTTCCTGGAAAAACATTCTTCTTGGCATTCCTCCCCTGGTCCACCACCATGCAAACGCTGCTGTCAGAAGCCAGCGCATGCCTTATAGGTCTCACCATTTATTTCACAACCTGCCTTAATTTGAGGTTTCATCCCCCCCCTTCTAAAAAAAAAAAAAAGTTTTACATACCTCTGTATATTCTGTGACACAAGAGAGCACTTGTAGCAGAAGTCCATGATTGAATGCAGCTTCCTTTCCCTACTCTCTATTTGGCTGGCTCCGTGATTGTATTTAATGAATGGATCTCCTTATATATTTCCTCAGTAGCTTTCTTTTTTAAAAAAATGTGGTCAGAAGTTGCCAGTACAGCAAGGAGGGAATACTGGGTAAGGGATATGTGTATTATTCTGCACTGAAAATTTGAATTCCAGATGTACCTCTTGTATAAATTTGCAGCATTGCAGATTAGACCAACAGAAAATTCGTAGGATGTTAATGTGGCTACAATTTTTCAGTTCTATTCAATATCCAGCCTCAGGATTCGAGAATATTCAGCCTAATTGTGTGGGGTTTTTTACTCAGAAGTAAGTTCCACTGTTTTCAATTGGATTTACTTATGAGTAAATGTGCATAGGAATGCAGCCCTGCAGCCCAAGTCTTTTTGCATCTCCTTAGAAGTACCATTGATGCCAATGCAGATTATTCTCTAATAAAGAACAAGCCTCAGAATCGCCTTAAGCATCCTAGTGTTTATGACTACGACCTGGTTTCCTCTCTTCATTGGTTGGAAAGACACCCTTAGGTGTCTTTTCGGGAATCAACTTGACTTGGTGCAATTTTCTACCCTTTACCAGCATTGTAATCATAAAAGAACAACGGAAGACACTTTCCTGCTGTAGCTTCCTGAGAAATAAGAAGATTCCCAAAGAAAAATAGGAATTTGTAGTTTACCTGTGTACATATAAAATGTAGTATTGCCCTTATAAGCCTTTGTGACCCATCAAGCTGAATGGGAGGCTGCCAGATGCTTAGCAATCCTCTCCTTTTTGCAGTCATACACAGGCAGCAACAAACAAACAGGAGGGTTCTTTGGGCCCCTGATGGGCCACCGTACTTGGCAGGCCAGCTGCGTTTCGCTTGCTGTGTCACAGTGTGCAGGCCTACTTGAAATAAAGTAGCTGTTGACAACCATAGACTTAAGAAAAGTTCTGCTGGATCCAGCCAAAGGCTCATCTTGTCCAGCATCCTGTTCTCACAGTGGCTCACTAAATGCCTGTGGAAAGCCCACAAGCAGGACTTGAGTGCAGCAGCACTTTTCCCAGCTTGTGATTCCAGCAACTGGTATTCAGAGTGGGACATAGGCATCATAGGCTACTTCTATAAGGTCATAGAAGTCATAGAATCATAGAGTTGGGACTAGAGGGGTCATCTAGTCCAGTCTCCTGCAATGCAGGAATCCCACCCACAACCGTCCCTGGGTGGGCTCGAACCACCACCCTTCTGGTTAACAGCAAGACACACTGACCCAATGTGCCACCAAAGTGTCATACTTCAGTTGACAACTTCTAAGGTCTCATATAGAAGATGCACACTGGTGAGGTGGTCTTGTAAACTGGAAGATTTAATACTGTCCCAGTGCTTGACAGTCAAATGCAACTTTCATAATTCTAGCAGAAAGCTCCAGTTAGCTTAATTTATAGCCTCAACAATTTTATGAGGATGAACAGAAAACAGTAAATGGCTCCCTCTCGATTGTATTTGCAGTGACTGTGGCTGAAAGGCACTCTCTGGAACTGGTGAATATATCATTTCAGTAAATGGTACTATTTTTATTTCTTCCTCTGCTCCTTTTCCAGGTGATTTAGTGTCACGAGCAATGCACCATATGCAGTGTTTGAACACGCTCCGCCCTGGCATGAGTCCTGTACGACAAAACAGGCAGCAGCAGCAACCCATCTCCTGGTCCCCTGATGCCCTCCACACCCTTTATTATTTTTTACGCTGCCCTCAGATGGAATCTATGGAAAACCCCAACCTGGATCCACCAAGGATGGCCTTGAATAATGAACGGTACGTCATGGTTAACAGAGCCTCATTTGGGGGCACACGACCTTTTAAGCCATATTGATAGTTCTGCTGAATTTCATGTATCAGTGATTCCTGTAAGACGGCCTGTGCCTTTTCTTCACTTTCGCAGCTAATTGGAACTAGAACTGGAAAGTGAGTTTCCTTGGTCACTGATTTGTGCAGCTAAGGCATACCTTGTAAAATTATCCTCAATACGTTTATCAAAGCAGCCATTCCCAGATGTCCAGAATTGGCCTGGACAATACAGAAATTGCCTTTTCCAGTGTCCAGAACATATTTCTCTCTGGGCATGGATCCCATGGTGGTTGCTCAGTTTCTGCCTCGCAACCATAATATCTAGTTGAAATTGTTATTTGCTTATCTGTTTGAAATATTTGTGCCCTGGCTTTTGCACTGAAAAGTCTTCAAGACATCTTACAGTCCAAGAAAAAAACAATATCCGATCCAGTCCACACACATCAAAACAGCAAAACCCACACCAGACAATAGTAGATTCAGCAGCAAACTAGAAAGGTAACAAATAACAAAGATCATGTGATCACTTGCCAAGAGCTCAAGGGAATTAGATGTTTTTAATTTGACACCTAAATGGTAGGAGGTTGGAAACCAAACAAGAGTATGACTCTACCTTCAGTTCTTGTTTTATCCCTAATATTTTAATCCTGATTGGCACCCAGCTTCCTTTTCCTCAGCTCTGTGAGAAAGGCCATAATGCAGTGGTTCCCAATTAGCTGAGGAAGCATGTCTTTTAAATGTATGGTGTGGATCTGTCCCCACAGCTAGACAGTGTAGTCAGTACTGGGCTAGATGGTCTAACTCAGTATAAGACAGCTTCCTGTATTCCCCTCTCTGCTCATCCCTCCATCTGACATCACAGCAAATTTTTTAAGCGCTCTAGTTTTGCTTGAAATGGGCTGGCTCAGAATTCTGCATAGCAGAGGGGATGAGTCTTAGCTTCCTTTTCCAACCGTTGACCTCAGATACCCACTGCTCTGAGGAGCCAAGGGAGACAGCACTTCCCCCATGACATCATCACTCATCTCACTTCCCTTGGCCCTCATTGCAACACATTCTGGCCTTGTAAGAGGCCCCCGGTGATGGGGTTGGGGCCTGGGGAAGGAATCAATATATTTGAGCAAATCTTGTGAACTGTAGAGCCTGACTTTCTATATGGAGGCATTATGGAAGGTGTTGTGCAATTAAAACACCACAGCTACATGTCCTGGTTATTTAGAAGAAACTGTGTGTTTAAGTAAGATACATTCTAAGGGAAAGAAACTGCCAATGATGAAGGAACCCTCTCCCCATGGGCTTTCAAACAGAATACCACAGTTGTTGTTGTTTTATGTTGCTGTGGCTAGAAGAAAAGATGGAAGTGGTTTAAAAAAAAAAAAGAATTCCCAGGAGGTCAGAGGAAATGTAACACAAAAGGCAAATGTGGTAGGTTCACTGCCCTTGACAATACCGCAAAGGAAGAGTTACTCTCTTAAGAGCATCTCCAACCTTCTTCTTCTTTTTGTAAATGTAATGGTCGCGAAGGTTAAAAAGAGATCTGAAGAGCACTTCTGGGGCTTGAAATTGCTATCCCTAGTGTAGAGGTCAGTCATCATTTTGCAAGAGGGCTTTGTGGGACAGAAAATAGGAGGATGTTTTCTCATATTCTCTTCTTGACATGTCATTATTCCTATGACAGCTCAGCGTGATGCCACCATGCTGACCACATCTCATTTTCCCTGTTGCATACAGAGAAGGGCTCTGATTAGAGTGGGGTGCACATTCATATATAAGCATTTTTTATTTTTTGTCCTCCCCACAAACTCCTCTTCTCATGGGCTTCGTGCCAGAGAGGAAAAACACCAGGATTCCTTTCCAGGCTGCAGCTCTAGTTTATTTCTTAAATCAATGTTATATATACTGCAGAAACCTCTATGATTACTGACTGAATCCATGTACAAGAATTGCACAGTAATGTTTAAACGATATGCACTTGTGGGCTTTGATTCAACAGAGCAAGTGCACTTCAACTGTAGCTTCAATCCCATTAATCAGCTATTTGGCAGGGAAGAGGAGAGTTTGCATCTGTGTGGGAGGGGGTGACTGAATGCAGCCTCCCATTTAGCTCCAAACAGCTGATCAGTGGGATTCCGTTTTTTTTATTAAAAAAATAGGGATATGCATACACAAGCCTTGGCTGCCTGGTTCAGACTGGGGAACTGTGTGTGCCAGATCCATTTTTCATCTAGCAAGGGATATGCCTGAGGAAGCCAGGTTCCATGCAGTTTAGTTTTTAATCAAAACAGGTTGAACAAATGACAGGCTTTAATGTAACCTGAAAGTGAACAAAGATCCCAAAATATCTGGCAGCCAGCTATACCGCAGTCAACAAAAATCCAATGAGCCTTTGAAAATATTCCAAAGTATATTTTGTGTGTTTTACCACAATGACCCCAATGCCTGTCATTTAATGTGGCCAGTGGGATGAATGCTGCAGAGGATACTTTCCTGCACCGAAGTCCATTCTTTCCTTTCCAGCAAGAGGGGAAAGTAAACGGAGGTTGCCTTTGAGTGTGCCAGGCGCACAGCGCGATGCATAAAGGCACTGATTCACTTACGTTGTCTTGGCAAGGCTGTAGAGTCAACCCTCGCCTCTCCCCACTTTTAGCTGTCTGTTGTAAATCAGCTGCAAACGCTGCACTGCTGCATTGTGTAGCATTGCTGTTGTTGTTGTTTTCTGGAACGTGCTTTCGATGTGCATTGTAGACCCAGGAACAATCTTAGTCACATATAAGGGGTGATTACCAGCTATGCTGTGGCTTTTTAGTTGCCATGCAAAACTTACTGGTGCTAAACAGTCATTCTAAATAGCAAGAAATATAAAGGGAATTGTTGGCAAAGGCCCATTCTTTTACAAAAAGTAAACTTCCTTTTCATCTGGAAGAAACTATTGGGCGGAAGAATTCCTTACTTATTAGTCTGTTGATTGCTTACCCTTTCTCTTGCTCCCCTTTGTTCACCCCTTTTTGGTTTTTCATCTGTACTTTTGAGAACGCCGTTGTCTTCTGAATCGTGGGCATAAAAAATTGAGTCTGCTTAGCACTTGTTAGAATTGGGCCTTCAAATCTCTGCATGAATAAAAATAGTATTTAATGTTTGTTTATGGCTTTTGGGAATTCAAAGTGTTTCATGTGCCCTATCTAGTTATAATCCTTACAACAACTTTGTAAAGTAATCTGTATTACTATTTCCCCATATTGTAGATGGGTAATGGCAGCTGAGAGAAGGTGGCTTGTGACAGAGGCAGGATTCCAGCTAGGGCCTTCTGTTTGGTAGGTCAGTCTTTTAGCCACTACAGTGCGCCAACTCTCATTACCTTGACATAACTCACGAAATATTCTCCTTAGCAATGCTTTGAAGATAACCCTTAGACTGGGAAGGCACTCTGGGGTGGGGAGAGGCTAAATCTCTTCTCCCAGTGGCAGGGGCTGAGGTGGGGAATTGCACCAAGGACAGTATATGCAAGTCAGAACTTGTGCATGTGGGAAGGGTTAAGCACCTCCTACCTGCTAGTTCTTCCCTGCTCAGGACACGGTCCTGCGTTACCCCTGCAAACATGGGTTGGAAACATACATCAGCCAATACGACATGTAGTTCCACCTTTAATGACCAGGTGGAGTCTTCACTGCTATGAGTTTGTTTGACAAATGTGTTATTTCTCTGAAAACCTAGTGGAATCTATGTTAGCAGCACGTGTGGTTTTATTTATTTATTTTCCAGTCCATCCCCCCCCCCTTGCAACCACCCTATAAGATAATTTAGCTCCTAGCCCCAGGCCACTCACTGAAGACAAATTTGAAACCAAATTTCCCAAGCCTGGTACTAGCTGTGGCACCATTCTGCCTCTTCTTTCTAAGTCAACTAATGCTACGCCATTCGCTGGAAGATCATTATGAATTTGGGGCCATTTAAAGGGGTAACGACTACAACACCAACAGAACTCTGACTTTCTGGCGTTAGAAACTGCGCTTACCTGGAAAGGTGTTTTCCAATATTCAAAATGCTACACTTGTGTCCTAGAATGTGAGTACAAGCCTCTTTTCACATTGCAACAAATCCCCTGTTGCCTGAGGGGGGGGCAGTGCCTTGGAGATGTCACTATCGGCAAACACATCTTGACAGGACACATATGCTTCTGCTCCAGCACTTTTTGGGTTTCTCAGAGAGATCCTGAAAATTGATGAGATATGTGGAAAGCAAGCAGAGGTGTAGCGATGACGCACCTGAACATCTGCTCTGTTTCCTTTCCATCACTAAGGTTAGCATCATGCGGTTATACGTTAAATGGACCTGAGTACATTGTGAAAATATCAGAGAGAAGGAGGCATTGCCCTGGAGTCCACACACACTGCCCTGTTTCCCAACACACCACAATGTACAAAATGCTCAAAATTTGCTAAGAGTGTAGCATTTTGTTTTGACTGGCAGCAAGGGAACAAAACAATCAATCTGCAAGCTTGGAGGTGGTCCAACTTGGTACCCCCATTAGGTTCCCTTGATGAAAGCCAGTAAGCATTTTATTTCAGAGGTGAGGGGGAGTATGCTGTCCAGCTAGAAATAAAAATTCAGAAGTTGCCAACTTGGTGGAAACGGAATGTAGGCTGGAAAAACTGTGAGCACTGCAAAAAGAGAGAGGAGGCTTTAATGAATGCAGGGAGGCCAGCTAGCTTGAACAAGAGAGACCTTGTTCTGGTTTGGTACACTAGGGGCCCTCAAAATGTGTCAGGTTTTGTTGCAACGAGGCTGTTTGTGAGATGGATGCAAAGCAATACAGTATCAGTTGTCCACTGTGCACTTCAATGGAGATTGGTGGTGCTGATGCTATGTACCAGATTATTATTTTTTAATGATGTGCAAATTTCTTGTTTCAAAGAGATGCCTCCTCTTACACTTATTACTTCCACAGGGCTAAGATCCGAAAGCATTGT